CGTTTTGGTGATGGTGACAAATTTGAAGACATTTCCGTTTTTTGGTTTGATGAGGCAGGTACTGAAACAGAGCGTGGTACCCTGGGAGATGTTGGTAATTGGGCACTCGAAAAACCTGATGTATTTGAGACTTGGTTTTGTGGTAGTAGTCCACTTGCAGAGCTTGATTTTGATGCAGATGCTGGTGATGATTTTGCAGTTTTTGGTGATTTTGGAAAAGACTTCACGGGTTGACAAATGGAATATTTTGATTGCACGGCTATAGCAGAGTCAATGAGATCTAAAGCCAAATCCCATGACTTACTTAATGCAATTACTGAAGAAGATAAAAGTGAAGTGATCATCTGATCTTGACTCTGTGGACTTGGACGACCTGGTTGCAGTTCCAAACATTCATGAGATGCTGGTGTTGAAGTGAATTCAGGTGGCATCTTTAGATGCATTTTAGAAGTGGTCTTTAAGCAAGCAGATGTTGTAGTTTCCAAAACAACGAATGAAGATGTTACTGGCGAGCTAACAGTCCTGGGAGCAGATGGTCTTTTAGAGCTGGCAAGGTGTATCAGCCTATCAGAAGGCAACAGTGGTGCTTCTGGTGCAAGAGGGTTGACAAATACATCTTTTTTGCAATGAATTAGCGATGGTGGCTGGCTGAACATCATGGCCCCCTTACCAGTACCATATAGGACACGAGGACGTGACTAGCTCATATGCCCAATACCATAATGTAGATGTTCTTGCTCACCAGGTAAGTTGTTTGCTGCAGATTTTTCTTGAGGCTTGCTTTTATTCAGTGGAAAAATGTATAATGAAGAGCCACTTTCAGATTGATCTAGATATGAATAAGATACTGCAGAACCAGAGGCTGGAATGCGATCCACAGAAATAGATTCTTTCACCAGCTGACACTGTAGCTTAGATTGGGTTCCACTATCATGGTCTCGATTCTTCTCCTGTATGTATTTCTTGCTTGCTTCTTCTTTATTCTCAGGTACAATTTCTTGTACAGATGTGGAAGAATATAAAGATGAGTGGAATGAACTATCAGAAGAACTTGAATCTTCCATGTCATTTTGGTAGTATGAAGGTAATGTAAGAAGTGGTATTGCTGTATTAGTATCATTTCTTTCAAAGTTGTTAACAGGTAATGATGAACAGGAGTACACTTGCTGGGGTTCTGTTGAAATATGAGCGGCGGGGCAGCGCCCCCAACACCCCGGCCGCTTGGCTAGCTCATGCCCGAAATAACAACACACAAACTATATTCATTTAAGAACTGCTTGGCCCATGAACTCTAGCCCTTACAGCCTAATTCTCGCACCTGGACTAGCCCATTTCTAATGATGTGTGTAAGCACCCCAAGGTGCGCTTACTGGGAAGATTCTAGCCTCCGTCCATCATGGTGTCTCTGCTCCAGATAGCAGAGCTGTCCGGTCTCTCCGGGAGCAGAGCAGAGTCTGACCTTCTGTTTCCTCCTCCCATCTATCTTTTAACCTACCAGGGCCAAGCAGTTTCTTTATTGCTCAGCCAATGAAATCAACAGATTGATATGACACTCCCACATCACTTCCCCTTTTTCTGTTTAAACAAAAAAGGAAGGCTTTAACTTAACATAGCAAAATTACATATAACAAAAGTTATCAAGTAAAAATTACAATAATCTATATCATAACTAAGGAAAACTATAACTATAG